GTCTCTGAAAACCCTGTCTCCAATGCTCCCACCGACCAGTAGATGACTCAGCTAAATGAGTCACTCGACCATACTAGAGTAAAAATTTCTCTTCGTACCTCTAGTGGTGGTGAGTTTGACTTTCTTTCAGAAGCTGAAAGACTCGAGGCATTAAAGGCTGAAGAAGAGTTAGAGCTTCAGAAGAAGCAGACTGAAGACAGCTTAAAGCTGGCCAAGTCACTAGCTGCTAAGATTCTCCCCAAGAGAAAGTCCAAGAAGGTGAACATTGTCTAAACCCAGGCTAAACTTCTTTCCATTGCAGAAGCTGAGCATGAGAAGAACCTGAAGCTGGTGGAGAAGGACAAGCGATGGAGTGAAGCAAAGCTGAAGAAAAGAGTAAGTCCCAACCCGATTATCAGCGTCAGCATCAGCATCAGCGAACGTTCAAAAGGCGATGGAACACTGGTCTCAATGCTCATCACGAGGGACAATCTCGATGCCATCATCGAGTACCYTTCCTACCTTGGCCGATATGGATACAGCGAATGGATGGAGATCAGGCAAACCATTCAGTGATCCAAGTCAAGACATAAGGCCATTATCGAGGACACCATCAGCGATCTCATCAAATGGATGTCCAGGTATGTCGCAGTCCCTGACAGACCTTCTCTAAAGAAAGGTGGGAAGAAGAAACTCAAGATCTCTAATCCTAATGATGGAACATTCCTAAGGAACGAACATGAAACAAGGTTCTCCTTAGATATAGTCCTGAAGGGTCATCAGAGTATAGACATTTCTATGTTGAATCTTGACTTTCCAGATAAGGGTCCCTATACACCCATTGTTGTGCATTTTAAACCTGATTTAGGAGTTATATTCCTTGACTATGAAGGTGAAGTTAGATTTCAGAGAATGTCAGAGCTACATCTATGTCCAATGGGTCATTTGGTTTACCTCTTGCTCTGGATAGATGATAGCATGCCTGGAAAAGTCGTGGACCTGAAGATACGAAGGGAATGCCTACGTCGAAGAAACCTTGGTGAAGATGTACCTAGCTACATAGATCTGAGTGTTCTAGAATAGGTTCTCTTTTGTAATAATTGTTCACTTTTCCTTGTAAATCTATTGTACTATGTCTACTTTCAGTGATTAATCTTCTAGTCTGTAAGCATTAGACATGTATTGAACTACTTGTAATATTAACAATGATAATAAAATGAGTTTTTCATGTACTTCACTGAAAAAGATCCCTGAAAAAAGTAATAGGGACACAAGTCTATGAGTTCCAGTGTTACTTTTTACATTCACCGACAATCTATAAGTCAGTGAATAAGCTTTCAGTTTCAGTTTTCATACTTGAAATTTTCTCTTAGATATAACTTAAGGAAAATTCTCAAGCAAAGACTGACTCACTGAAAAAGATCCCAAAATAGTAAAAAGGAACATGTACTTTATATGTAACTTTTCCTTACTGTTATTTGAGCAACTTTCTTTATGTTGTCTTGTTATCATCAAATAGGGGGAGATTGTTGATCATCTCTCTCAGTGATTTGATGATAATCCCTTTTCACTTATACGTTGTATTTATGTTTCTATCTTTTCAGTTCCAACGATCATCACTGAGCCTATTCAGTGATCGCTGAAGAACTTGTATTGTAATTCAATCAGAGACAGCAATACTTCAAAATGAAAAAACTCACACCAAAAACCTTCAGCCAAAGTCGAACACTGAAACTGAAGATTAGAGACTGGCGAGTACGTGATCTGAAGCAGTACTCAGTGATTACAAGTCTGTCTACATATGTGTGAAGACTACTCAAGCCTCAGCGAATACTGAAGAGACCTTCAGGTTATTCCAGCATTCAGCGATCAAAGGATGTTTGCCAAGCACGATTGTTGTTGTCTTGTCCTTATGCACACAAAGGACAAACCCATATCCTTTCTAAATGATGGTACGGTACGGAGCCGACTAGTTGACTCTATTGCCCACCAACTTTAGGTAAGGATGTCTGCTCATGAATAGTCCTTTTTGTACTATTCACTGTAGCAAAGGACAAGCCTTCCTCTTAAGGCTTGACACGCACTCTAACCCTACCATATTGCATTAAATAAGAATTTAATGCAATGGGTATAAATAGAAGTGTTTCTTCTCCATGCAAAGTGCGCGCAACTCACTCTCATAACCTAATTCTTACTTTGAGCATTCTCTAGCTTAAGTAAAAGAACTTTTCTTTACAACATTTCTTTTCTCATTTGCTAAGATTCTATGTGTAACCAAAGATTGTTTAGATAGGTTTTCTTACCTTATCTTTCCGCAAACAGTCTTGTAAATTTGTATTGATCTTCTCTATCAATATACATTTTAAATTTGAAAATATTGTGTTTGTATTCATCCCCCCCTTCTTCAAACTGTTTTACTTATCTTGTAGACCCTCAAGGGACCAACAAAAATAAACCACTCCTATATATGTTATGTATAAATATCTTGAGTTGATTGTAAATTTGGTCCTTATGGTTTGTTGTGCTCTACAATATTGGTCATGAACTTCATTTATTACGGAATTGAATTCGTCGTTTGCAAATTTGTAAAGTTTCGGTCCCTTACTCTAATGACCACCCACCATCTCCACTAAGAGGGCAAGATGATCATTTTATCATTTTTCTTTATTTTACCATTTTTGTCGCAATAGTCCATTTTTTCTTTTTATAAATAGCTTGGTTTATTTTTGGATTATAATAGATTAATTTGATATATGTTATAATAACTAAATTTTTTTTCACAACAATAACATTTGAATACTCATATAGAGATTTTTGACGTGTACAAAGTTTTCACAAAGTAATCTGAGACTCATAATTTTATGTCAGTAAACCTAGATTCCAAATCAGTCTCTTATTTTCATTGATGAGAATTTAAAGAATCTAACACTATTGTTCAAAAGAATCTCCAGATACCAACCATAGTGTGAGTAATACTGTTACCTTCGATAAGATCTTCAATCTCTTTATCCATTTGTCCTCAAAAGCCTCCAAGAATCACCCCAAAAGTTGTGAAAATCACCTCCATTGGAATAGAAATGAAGTAGAGTGGAATGGCAAATTTTAGTTAAAAAATGGAGTTTAACCCATCAGAGGCCCTAGGCGACTTGGGAGGCGACCTAGATCATGTTGCCAGTCGCCCGAACACCAAAATCTCACAACCAAAGCCTTAAGCGACTTATTAGTCAACCTATGTCGCTTGGAAATTCACAACCAAAGCCTTAAGCTACTTCCACTGTAATAGTTTAGTTGATGTATTGCTTTAGTGATTTGAGACTTTTAGAATTCATTATCAGACTTGAATGATTGAAGTTTGTCAACTTAGCATTGTTTAGTAGCATAAATCCTATAACACCCTCCCAAACCTTCCTAAGGATTTTGGGAGGGTAGTACGTTATTGTTATACTCCTCTTGCATGCACGTGTTTCTTTTCTCGTGGTGCAACATTTGTCACACAAATCACAGCAGATCCTTATGAAACTTAAGTCGTAAGTAAAATAATTTATTATTTAAGTATCAACAATCAAGTATTAATCTGACAACCCAACTCACTCAAACTCTCAAGATTGGGTTAAGTTACAATGTTTAACAGGTTGGGTTATGTTGTGATTTTTCTAAACCATTTTTATTGGGTTGAATTGTTCAAATATTGCAACCTGTTTCAAACTAACAGATGCAAACCCTTAGGGTGCGTTTGGTTTGCAGGAATGGAATGGAATTGGGGGGATTTGGATTTAAAAATCCATTCCAATCCTGTGTTTGGTTGGCAAAATAGTCAGGATTTGAAATCCCAGGTTTTCATTAAAATCCCTTAAACATGGGATTTGGAAATCCTTTGCATATCGGCGGGATTTGGAAATCCTTCCCTTCGACTCGCTTCCAGATCCCGTTCTCGCTTCCCTTCCCGTCCTCTCGCTTCCTGCCGCCCTAAGCCCTAACGCGCCGGTGCTTTCTCCTCCTCGCCGGTAATCTTTCCTCCTCGTTGTCCCGCTTGAACAGGTGCTCTCGCCGGTAATCTTTCCTCCTCGTTGTCCCGCTTGAACAGGTGCTCTCGCCGGTAAGGAATAAGTAGTACTCATCTAATCATAAACCAGAAATACCAGAGAAACCCTAGATTTGACAGGCAGATAATCCTCTAATAAGAACAAGAAGAAAGCAACGATCTGCAACACAAACACACACAAATCAGAAAGATGATAAACAGTCGCTTATTATGATAGTCCTCCTCGTTGTCCCGCTTGAACAGGTGCTCTCGCCGGTGCTCTCGTCGGTGTTCTCGCTGGTGCTCTCGTCGGTGTTCTCGCTGGTGCTCTCATCGGTGTTCTCGCCGGTGCTCTCTCTTTCTCTTCACCGCCTTCTCTCATCACTCAACAGGTAAAGACTTCCCTTTTCCCCTTTTCTTGAATGTGCTCTCTCTTCCTCTTCGCCCATTTTCATTCCAACTAATTCAGTCTAGTTAATGTTAGGAATTCAATCTAGCTAATTACAGGGCTGTGGAAGTGACAGTCAATTTCTATGTATTTAGTTCATATACAGTTCAATTTGGCTTCTGTATGGTTTGAGTTCATGTACAGTTCAAATCCTTCCAAATCCAAATCCTGCAAACCAAACACATGAATGGATTTTAAATCCAATCCAATCCAAATCCCTCCTGGGAATCCAAATCCCTCCTGAGAATCCAAATCCTTCCTAGAAATCCAAATCCCTCAGAAACATTACTGCAAACCAAACGCACCCTTAATTAGAAGGTAGATAATGAGAATGACACCCAACCCAACCCAACATGTCTTCAATTGGGTTATATTGACATCTAGGATTGGAATTTCTAAAATAGTTCATAATTGAGTTGAGTTGTTCAAATGTCAACGATAACCATCCGGAAAGAAAATACAACTTTTCAAAAAACTTTTATTATTTATTTATTTAAAATTTTAAACAATGAAAAACAGAAAAACTAAAAGTAAGGCTTCACCAAACGAACAAGATATAAAGCGCAACCGTGCCGTCGCAAATCTCTTTCCTTCCTTCTCGTCTCTTTCCGGCCCTTAGAACGCCGTAGTCAGCGAGTGCTGCTTTTGTTCTTCTTCATTCTCAGCATCTGATTTCAATTCGATATCCCAAAGATGAATGATTCTTACTGGAAATACGCTGCCGCTGAAGGTAGGCAGCAGCAGCAGCAGCAGCCACCACTTCAACAACTCATCGGAAAGCGTCCCCGTCCCGATTACGGTAAACTCTTCCTTTCCCTTTGTTTGATGTGTTTTTTCTTTATCTTATAAACCTACAATCTCAAATGAATTTTTATTTAAATGTTGATTTAGCCGGCTAGATGTTAGGGTTTCTTTTCTAGCAATTATAATGAAATCCAATATTTCAGAAATTTGTATAGTAGTGAAGGCTGCCATACCATGCCCTTTCGTTTTTATTTCATAATATGCTCTATGTTCCGTATCGAATTGTTTTGTGCAGATATCCGAAAACCCTAGTTACGACATTGCCATGCTTCTGCTTTAAATGTACTGCCAGTGCCCAAAAACCTATTCATTTTGATTACTGAAATTTAAAATTGGATGTTCGTCTCATAACATTTTGATTAATGGAATAATGGCCTTATAGTTTTGCTCGAAAGTTATGTAAATCACACTACTTGAAGGGATAGTCAACATGACCTAAGAAATAAACTACATGGGGATCTGAATTTGATGATTGATGATCCGTTTAGCATTGAAATTAGGTACCTTTTGGAAGAGAGGGAGGATACAGTTGTATGTTTAACATCAAGACTAGGGTTGAGACACATGATATCTGTGTCTATTTATCAGGTTCTGTTTGTTAATCTTATTATTTCATACTAATCGACCACTTAATGCTTTCGGTTAATGATCCGCTTAATCAATTAAGTGGCAGTCACTCAGTTAGTCGTAAAGCTCCACCTGGTGCTTTTTAGAACACTGATTAATAAAGTCTGATTTGTGACATATGATGCATAGGCATTGCCAAATCCCTGGCTAACCTTTTTTGCATGCTTGGATGTCAAGTCAAGAATCTGTTAATCATTGAAGCCAAATTTCTACCATCTGGTTGTCACCAACTGATTTGCATGTGGATGGTCCTTTGCAATTAAGATTAGAGCTTGAACCGGTGTCCAAATACATTTTGTTGTTCTTAGAGTATGTAATCATTGTAGTAGTAATGGACTAATGGTATATCTCGGCTTCCTTAAGATTCTATAGAAAGAGTAATAGGTATTTGGTGCCTTGTCGAATGTCATGATAACATGGGGGTGTATTTAAGGGGATAGGGTATTTGAATCTTTTTGACATCTCTGCATGTGCATCTCTGCCAGTAAATGTTTGCTCAAAAAATGATCTGAACCATCATTGAATATATGGTTGCACCCTTGGTTATGCGTTTCTCTGGTTTCATGTATCGATTAGAGTCTACCTTATGATATACAGCTAAAGAGTATTAATTGAGAAAACTTGGTATGACTCATAGGTTATGGATTTAAATGTTTTGGATGTTTAGAACCAATTTTTGTAGTGTGTTTGCTTTGAGAAGAAATGGGTGCCAATAAAAAAGTGGCAAGTAATTGGATGCTAGTTAAGATTATCTTAAGTAAAAAAAAAGTTTTGATATAGTTTTTAAAACCTAATTAAGGTTTGGGGTCAAAGGTTGTCAAGGCAAGCTGACATGTGTGTCTAGAGAATTCCAAAGGGGCTAGGTTACAAGTTGACTGCCTAATCCATAAGGTGATAAGTTGATCATAGGAAACCTTTCATGCATCACAATTAACATAAAAAAAGTTATATGCACAAAAAATGGGAAGTAGGCAAGCCCAAGGTTTGACAAAAAGAAGCTACTTTTTTACTATAAAGAATCAAAAGCAATGAAAACAAATACAATAGAAACAGCTGATTCAAGTTTTCTGTCAGATCCATGTTTGACTGGTCAGGGAGTTTAAGAAAGAAGCAAAATTGTCAAGCTTTTGAGTAAAATCTGCCGAGTCTTCAACCAACCTGAAATAGTTGAAGTTTGGGACTAATTTATATTATTCACCTAGGGGAAATCTCTTTTATCTATACATGTGCCATAATAGACAAGGAAATAATATACAAGGATAAATGCTACTAGTTGATGAGCTAAGTAGACTCTTTCAACATTCATTAAGTTGTCGCAAAGATGTCTATCATCCCCAACTTGCTACATCTGAAGCATCTCCACTCCAAGTCTTCTATAGTAGTTTTGTCATAACATCCGCAAGCTGGTGATTGTGTATGAATATGAATAGGCTTAATAGATGCTCTTTATGTTATCTATAACACAGTTCCTCACAAGATAACAATCAACCTTTACGTGTTTGGTCTTCTATTGAAGAACCTGATTCTTGACCATATGGATATCAGATTAGTCATCTCAGCTTCCTCATTAGTTTTTCATGGAAGGACCAAATACCTGGGGGTTGGCTATCTTGTTGTGTGTTATTCTATAGTCTGTACTATGGGTATGCAGACAAAGCCTCCATCTATTTTTTTACAAACCTTGAAATCTTTCAAATATTTTTACAGAACTCAGTTCCTCTCGAGATTATCCAAATCTTGTTTGCAAGTCGGGAGTATTCACGGAAACAGCATCTCTACTCCTTGGAGTAGAGAAAAGGTCTACGTACATCCTACCTCCTAGACCCTACCGACTACCGAGTGGGATATACTGGGCGTATTTGGTTTGGTTTTAGACAAAACCTCCATCTATTGCCTATTCATATGTATTCAAATTATCAACTTGTAGATTTTCTGACAAAAACACTACCGAAGACTTAAATAGACTCTACATGCAGCAAGTTGGCCATGATAGACATCTATGCTCTACTCGAGGAGTGTTTGAAAAATTTAGTTAGCTTACTTATTTGTTGTTTTATCCTTGTAACTAGTTAGCTTTTCTACCCTTAACTATTATGGCACATGTATCTATTTATAAGGATTTTTCTTTGATGAATAATACATGAGAAGTTACTTTATTTGCCACTACCCTTTCAAGTTTTATTAAGCAGAGACCCCTTTATATCGATACATGTGCTACATTAGATATGGATAGAACAGATAATTAGTTACAAGAAAAAACTCTACTAATAAAAAGTGAAGCAATTGAATCATTGATACAGAGATATAACAAGCAAATAAAAACAAGAAGACAGAAAAGTGATAAATAAAGGCAGTAGATATAGAAACGACAATAGTTCAAGTTAGATAAAAAGAACCAACCAAGTATAGAGGGTAGTAGTAACAAGCAGGTGAGGTGACTAATGGTGATGAGAGCTAGGCGAGGTGTTGACCGAGGGTGCCAATCAGTTGGCTCTGTCTTTGTAATCTCTCAGCACTCATTCTCTCTCTCTCTCTCTCTCAGTCTCCACACCTAAGAGTAGGTTGCTTTATTAGTCTGACTCGGTTTAAAGTTGCCCATCATGTCCATCTTCCATTTTCAATTTATTTTGCTTAGTCATTCCAGTTTCCACTAATATGAGATGGTGTGATCCTGGGTTGCCAATAGTCTTATGTGTTAACTTTTTGAAGAAAAGTTCATACTTTAAGATCAAGGTATCCAATTCTTAAAATGGTTTAATCATATTGCTGGAGGTACAGATTTGTTTGCAGCACTGGTGGGTTAATTTTTATTGCTGGACGGCTGGACCTGTTCATTCACAAGATGAGCAGGTTGATGATTTGGATTTTACTTTTGATGCTGTCGCAGCTTAGCCAAGTCTCAAATTTTGATCTCAATTGTATGTGAGATCAAATTTGCCATTTGAGCCAAATCTTTCAATATTACTGGATAGTCCCACAAAGGCCTCTAAGAATCCTATGACCTCCATGCTGGGCCAGGGGGCCCAAATCTTGTTCATGCAGATAGATGTCAACTTGTTAGTAAAACAAGATCTGCAATGCTTATGATTGGCTTGGTTAATTTAGTGTCATTTGTGGTTTAAACAAAAATTACTTGGCTTACCTTGAAACAAAAGAGTTGTTGATACGAATTGATCTTCTGTAAAGCAGTAAAGGAAGTATATTCCTTTCTTCCTCCATGCTCGCCTTTGGATGGCATTGCGGATTTGTGGTATAGATCACGTTTTTCATTTTGATTCTTTTTCTTACTTACTGAAGGGGAAGGGGAAGGGGATTCAAAAAGCATTGTAATTTGAAGTTTCAGCTCATTTGAAGTTGACTAGGCCATAAAAATGTCGAACTTCATGGAAGTTTCTGGAGGAATCAGGGGTATTCTTATATTTTTCTTTTTGACCGGAGTTTCCTCATCTAATGGATAATGGAATTTCTTGTATTTACATTGTCATTAATTCGCTCTTTTGTGCTGCATATCTACATCATATTTTTCTGTGGATCATATGGTTTCCAAGATGGTTGTATGGGTTTGTTTCTTGTTCTCTATGTGCTAATTTGATTCACATCATAGATGGTCCTGGTGGTCGTGACTTGCCAAACTATTTTGCTCGTGAGGATGAGAGAGGAACTCAACTAGTGGTTAAAGATTCTGATACTATTGGTGCATCTTATGACCGTTACCTGCGTGGCACGGTATGTCCATATGCAAAGCCTACTGTATCATCGTTTTAGTGATATCTAATTCTTACTTTCTAATCTATCATACCAGCAATTTCCATCATATGGTGGCATTGAGCCTGCTAGACCCATGAGCACAGGACTTGGTGGTCGTCTTCATGAAGATCCTCGCATGATGGGAATGGGCCTAGGGGGGCTGGATTCTACAATAGCAGCAACAAAAGGTCGAGATGCAGGGATGGTAGGTGGGAGGCCTGAAATCTCTTTGCCTCCTGATGCAAGCAATACACTTTTTGTGGAGGGTTTGCCTTCAAATTGTTCACGGAGAGAAGTGGCTCGTATCCTTTTCCAGCTTTCAACGCTCTTAAATTTCTACTTTGTATATCTGTTTCCTTATCTATAAGGAAATAGTTCCTTGCTTTCTCTTTTCCTTTCAATTTTACACACTTATTCATATGCTCAAACATGAGGTGATCATCAGTTTGAGATGGTCTATAGATCAGACAATTCCCACAAATTATATGACGGATCACATGCCAGTGTGCTACCAGTGTGCTATCAAACAAAACTATACCTTAATAATGGGATGTTGGATTGGATTTCACTTGAGGGTCTACAGTTCCATTGTGTCTCAGGGTAGAAGTTTTTTGAGAAATGTATCGTTATGCTTTCATTCTTTTTCTTCTTTTTATGTTGGTTCCTTCACCTTAGTTTGTCAGATATATTTCGTCCTTTTGTGGGCTACAAAGAAGTACGACTTGTGACAAAGGAATCCAGACATGTAAGAGTAAATCTGTTTGCTGCATTCATATACTCGAGCCTGATCATACTTTTTCTTCCACCCCTCTAGCACTGTTGAATTTTCTTTCTGGGCTGTCCCTTGAAAATTGCTACATTAATCTTTTTGAAACCATCACAAATATTTGGGGCAAGGCCACAAGGCCTTTTCGGGCATTTACAACTACTTTTGTTGATTTCTACATAGAGTAGCATGCTAAGATAGTCTTTTTGGTTTTACAGTCCAGTGGGGATCCGTTGGTACTTTGTTTTGTTGATTTTGAGAGTCCAGCTGAGGCAGCTACTGCTAAAGATGCACTACAAGGTACATTTGTATTCTTTGTATATGCAATTACAAGTTCTTGCGTTTGTACAAATTCGTTGATTTTTTATATTTGGAAAGTGCATTTTACTCCAACACCTGCTTGGTGCCTACTTTTCTTCTGTATTTGAACTTCACTAAACTCCACACTGCCATCAACTAGTTGAGGTGGCGATACAAATTTTTCTCATTGTTCTTCTCCAAGGAAAATATGTTATTTTCAACGTCCAATCATATTTAGGGGTACTGTAAATGTTGTGTTCCCTCAAAGCTATGCTTGATCTGGAAATCCTAGACTTTAGAACGATATGCCACCTTACTTTGCCGAAGGTTCCATTACGAGTTAGTCTTGAGAGTTGCCTAACTGCGCAGAGTTGCAGCTATGGAGTATTCATACAAATATAATAAAGTACAAGCAGCCATTTTCAATTGCTAAAGAGTGTATTTATCGTTCATTCCTCTTAAATACTCGTGACTCGTGAGCCTAAACGGATCTCCATCTACTGTGCCAATACTCACACTGTTTCTTGTAGCTAAGAGACAGTGGTGTATTGAGGATGGTGCGATTATGATAAACGGTTCTATTTTTCACCCTCCGCCCCAGTATCTCTGTGAAGCTTAAGTTGTGAAGTATTTAAGTTCCAAGTGGCGGTTTCTTCATTCCAAGGAACGGCGTCCAATCAACTACGTTGCCTTCGCTTGGTGGAGCCACATGCTCCATTTTTGTTGGCTTATAATTAAGTTAATCGTATCATATATGTCTTCCATTTTATAGACTTATATCAGTTTAAACTTATCATATATCCGTAAACACGACCTTGAAAACATACCCTATATGTGATTTCGAAGCGCATTGCCTTTTTGCTCGCGAAAATTAGTTGGGTAAACCACTAAAGTGGCTTAAATATCTGGTCTTTCTTCTGGCTAAGTATTAAAGAGGTTGATACTTAATATCTGATATGTACCTGAAATTGTGGTTGCGGCTACCACTATGAGATTCCGCTTAATCTCTAAGAACCGTAGCCTTGTGTATTTGCACCCCCATCTGGAAAAAAAGACAGCTAACAATCAGAGAGCTTCAGGATGCCGTTTCCAACATAACCCTTTTGTCGTAGATCTAAGACCTGCTGCTAATCCCCACCATTAAAAAACATGGTTAGTTGTGTGGTGTAAAATAGTCAAACTCGATTTTGCAGGTTATAAGTTCGACGAGCATGACCGAGACTCGGTCAGCTTAAGGCTGCAATTTGCTCGCTATCCTGGTGCAAGATCAGGTGGTGGAGCGAGGTCAGGTGGCGGAAATCGTGGAAGGCGTTGAATATGCAGCTTTACAGGTGATAAAACCTATATACCCATGCGCTCAAACCTTTGCTATTGGTAACCATAGGGTTTGCTGAATCAATATAGAATCACACTAAATTGTGACACGGCGCTTCTATGTAGGATCTATGCATGTCGCAAAAATATATGATGAGGGTGGGTTACAACGTTATGATGAATTACATCTCTCCTATTGGGTTTCCAGTTTCCTTAGGACCAGATGACTCGAGTGGGTTGCGATTTTCGAGCGGTGGTTGCACACATTTGAAGCTTTGTTATATGCTATTAACTTCCGTTTCGTGCCTGAGAGCAATGTTTAATTTATATTTTTTTCACTGCGAAGGTTTGTGCATTTTAGATTAGGGTATTATGTTGTGACTTTAACCTATGAATGTTGCAACTAGTGATATTGGGAATTCGTAGCCTATTGCTTCTTTGGAGTTTCACTTGTGTTCAATTGCTTTTCACATTATATCATAAGGGGTTAGGTTTTGGTGCATGTATGTCTATACTACATATTGTATGCTGCTATTATTGGATATGAGAGGTGACCATATGCCTATTTCAGCACCAGTTTTAGACATGTATGCTATATGGACTTTGGTAATAGAGAGAAGCAGCTTCAACAGTGCAATCAGATCTGTGCTCTTAGGATTCATTTGGTTTACTGGGATCCAGAGTGTGGGTAACCTGATTTTACCACTTTCTCGGTCCGTTCTTGGTGTTTTTTTTTTGTTGTTGGTATTTTTCAGTCGCATCTTGAGTTAAAATGGGTCTGATCTAATGGATGGGGAGAAGCATGGCGGTGGATGTCACCTTGCTAGTGGAATGGGCCTGACTGCCTAACCTTCGTGTGGGATTTAGACTATGCTACTAATCGTGCTGCTATAGTGGTTAGTGGCCATGGGGCAAGTACTTGTGGTCAAATAACGGTCTGGAATGGCAGTCCCGGAATTTACAGCACTATTGACCGCTAAATGGCCGCATATTAACACTAAATAGTGGCAGCCTAACCACTATTTGTAGAGTATTTTGGTGTTAAGCAACTATTTGGTGGGCTTCTACGAGTTTGGACTTGGGCTAGGTTTTATTTTAGTCCAACAATATTAAGACTTCATCGGTCAATGATTTAGCGATTTGTTTTGTGTGAAACTTGAGTTGTTTATGTTTATGTTTTGATGTTAAAATTATATTTTTTGTATTGAATACATATATATACACACACCCACACATATATAATTCTAATGATTATATATGTACCGCTATATTGGACTGTTAGACCATCCCGATAACTGCAATTTCATATTTTGACCGCTGTGACAACATAGGATTTAGATGCTTTTTGAGGGCCTATACTTCATGTGACATGCTGTCTGGTAATAGCCTGTGATTATAACACCTTGAATGTTTTATTGTTTTGCTACCTTATGCTTCCTAAGGAGCACTTGTGAAAAAAAACACACACGCTGAATGTTTCTTTTCTTCTAGCATCTTCGTCTCTGCTTGGCTTTTCATCTTCTTAACTGTTCTGCTGTCCCTCCTACCTTTAGCCTGAATAGATTGTGAAGCCCCTCTAACCATGACATGGCTCTTGATTGTCCCAATATGCTAGGTTCCTGTTACTTTGTTGTAATGGCGCCATTTTCTGAAAAGCATGTTTGTGCTCTCATTCACATGGCTTTCTTTGCAAAAATGGCATGCAACCTATTCTTTTCAACGGAAGTTGTATCCGGTGAATTTAGAGTTGATTTCTGGCCCTGATACAACCATGCTTCCTGTTTTGTGAAAACCAACTCATTACATCACTTGCTATTGGAAAGGCATGGAACTAAGAATCAAAGGAGCTGAAGCTTGTGACTTCCTTAGGTACATGATGCATATGGAGAACCAAATGGATGCACATCTAGCTAATACTGTCCGGGGTTAGGTATGTTTATGCATACAGCCACTGATTCAGGATTTAGGTGTGTGTGATCTATTTGTTAACCAGTTTTTCATTGGTATAGAAGTGAGCACCATTGATTAGCACTGTAGTGCAGAAATAGGGGTTGTGCCGATCTCTAACCACAACAAAAGGCATGTGGTTTAGGGTTAGTTACTTGGGTTTCTTCCTGCATCCATTTAACTCGATTATGAACTAATTACCCGATTTGTCTTGTACATAAATTAGGGGATATATGGGGTTACAGCATGATGAAACAGTGGTCCTGAGTTGAGTAAGGCTTTGCATAGGATCATTTAACTTGGTTGGGCTTGTGATATTAAAGTTGATGGAGTAGTTTTTAATGGTAAAAGGATAAAGTGAGTGAATAATACCTTGATTGAAGTGTATACCCTGGTGAGGTTAACAATTGAAGACATGCAAAGAAAGATGCAGGGGTGATATTGGTTCGGCTCATCTGGCTGCTGCTGGCATTAGAAAGCCGAGGAGCCACGCCAATATCATGCCTGTTTATTTCTTTGTTTTAGAGGCTTCTGCCAATCAGAAGAGAGTGTTGTTTTGTTCTTGTATGATTCAGAAAGGTGGTCCTGGTTATATAGATGGCTTATTTGAGATTATAAAAATTATTCCTGTTTGTTTATATCTGTTTGGGAATGTGTATTTGTTGATTACAAGTGAGAATAAGATTTAGACATATAGCAGATTAGCAGGTGTTTGTGGAATTGGTCTTTGAAGATACAGTTGAGTTGTTGGAGTTGGTTTGAATTATAAACAATGTGTGCTGTCCAGATATCCTCTCAAGATTCTCTCTTCTACCCTTTTTGTAAGTGTGTGCATATATTAATATTAATTGATATATTAATATCGTTATGGTGCTGCTGCATGTAGCACGTTATTCTTAACCAAATCAAAGATTGACAATCTTCTTTGTTGACGGATGTGATGTAGGGCTGTTTTTCATTAAGTTCTATATGGATGAAGTTTTTATGTTTGTATAGATTGGGAAGGTTTTTGTTTTAGAGGGGTTTTTAATAGATGGAAGAAGCATGTTTTTTAATTGAAAGGGGCACGTTTGGAAAAAAAATTTGGCTTTTTGCATAAAGTGCCTCTAGATACTTATTGAACAAGTCACTCTTTATATTATTAAGTCACTACCAATAAAGCTAACCGAATAAGTTGTGAGTTTATTAAGATCAATATGAAGCCCTTATTACTATAGCAAAATTTGGTTGGCTGTAATCGGTTTAAGACTGATTTGTAAGTGGTTAAGGAGGGATCGGTTATGATTGATGTAGCATTGGTTAGGTCGAAGCGGTTAAAGAATTATTTTCAGGAAACCAGTTAAGGACCGAGCCTAATTGGACCGGTTATAGGGACAAGATTCCTTCTTCCATGGCTTTTGTAAGTGAGTGCATATAATTATAATATAATATTATTATCACATGCAACACGTGATTTGTAATCAAATCAAGTGTCTATTGTTTTCCTTGATGATAATTGCATATGACTTTCAAAGTATCGAGTCTTGTTTATTTATGCTACATGGATGTGTAATTGTCGCCACATTTTAACATCGTAAAATCTTGTGTAACTAGTTTATGTGCTTTTAAGCAAAAGTCGTAAGCAAAGCACAAAAGAAGACATGCATTCACCTTCAACTCCAACTCTAACAAACAATAAAACCAAAGTACATATAGGCTCGATGGCTCGTCACTTGAAGTTGTGGGCTTAGGCCGCCAGGAACTGCGATGTCGGCTTTTATTGCTTTCATATCATTGTCAATTTGGATATTTTGTTGATGTTGTAATGAATGAGAGGAATTATTGAAAATGTAAAATGTATGGAGTGTAAGTAAAAGATAAAGGTTGGTTTCCAAAGTTGACCAAACGCAAATCAGAAAAAAGCAAAGCCATTTAAAACTGATTCAAATGAAAAACGAGATACCTACCACCTTCATAAATATACATTAATTAAAATGAATAAATATGTTTTTGTTTTTATTTCTATTTCTATACAAGTGTTTTGATTCTTGATGCCCAAATTTATGCTTCCCAAAACAAAATTCATTATGTTGCTTCAGAAAATAAAAAACAAAAATAATTATAAGTTTGAGGGATAAAAGATGCCCCAAGTCAATATCGAACAAACAGGCCTAATTCTCGGAAATTCTTCATCGTCCCACATCAGGCCCAATAACAATGAGGGTTTTCAAAGAGATGGGCTAACTCGTTAAAAAGCCCATTACAAAATGCCCACACCTGGTTTGTAAAAGCTTAACGGTGTTTACGATTTTTAGAATCATGTAATGGTTCTCTTGGACCATTATGTCCTTTTTGCTTGAGTTGGTGTTTTTTAATAAAGTTGGTCGGTCTTTATTTTGAAAAAACTTGACTTTCTGACATAAAACTCTCCCTCAAGTAATTTTAGATACAATTTTAAAATATTGGATTTTCCGTTATTTAAATCGCGTATCTCCATCACTTGTAGTGATTTATCATTCAATGAATGACATAAAAATATCTATCTAATCCAATTAATAATTATAATGTTTCTTACTTTACAGTGTACATCGAAAATCGTACTTACTCTTTATCTTTCTACCCATCCCGGAGATTCATCCTATCCATTCAAATTATTCCAGTAAATAACATAATCGTGGATAGGAAACTCCATTAGTGACCTGCCCCAATTTATTGTAGAAATTTTCGGGATCAATGGTCGTAAAAGTTGAGTGAATAAACTGTGACTCCCATTAAGCTCATTAAGTTGCTAAGATACAGATCATTAAGTTCAGGCCAGACTTTCAAGGGTAATTAGTTCCTATTGTTAGCAATGGGTGAAATCAAGTCAAAAAATGAAATGGGGATGGGGATGGGGATGAAACAAGATCCTAAATAAAAGCACCACCACAAACTCAGATTGTGGGGGGAACCAAAATATCCACATAACCCACCCCATACCCCACCTCCAGTTATCCCACTTTGATCATCTCAACTGCAATTATCATCTTTAATACCATCTGTGCAGACTGCAGTGGTGATTAATATATTAAAAGGGAATAAAGAAAAACAGACTCTGTTTTTAGATGATGGTTGCTCTCACTTCAGTCACTCCACATTCATCTTCTTCATGTTTGCAATCAAAGCTTTATCCTAATCCTCCATTTTTATCTCATTCAAATTCTGTAAATGAAAACAGTACCTGTTGCATTGCCATCAAGCCTTCTACAAGGAGACGCTTGACAATCCGAAGTGCAGCAACCAAACCTGCAAAAACACCTGGTAATTTCTGCTATTTTACCTTATATAATTATGGAGGAAACACAAACTTATGATATCCAAATCTCAACTATTTTCGGTTGTTTAGCTGAAGAAGACTGGAAGACAAAGAGGGAGCTCCTTCTAGAAAAAAGGGTAAATCTTTACGATAATTACTATAGACAACCGATCCTCTCATAAAATACAAAATAACTCAAAACCCTCCTAAATTGTAATTGAGATTGTTTTCAATTACCAGTGAGCATATTTCAAGCATAAACTCTGATTATTGAGCAGAGACAATAAGGGCAAAATCAAAGAATATATACTGCAGGTTCGAAGTGTGGATGTTAAGGAAGCATTACGACTTCAGCAAGAAAATAAGTTTGTGATTCTTGATGTGAGACCAGAAGCAGAGTTTAAAGAGGTCACATACTTCATATTTTCTCCAAGATCATTATCATCAAAAGTATATTGCATCACTAAAGGCACCATTTCTATTCTGGATGTAGGCTCATCCCCCAGGTGCTATCAACGTGCAAATATACAGGCTTATAAAGGAGTGGACGGCATGGGACATTGCTAGAAGAGCTGCATTTGCCTTTTTTGGTATCTTTGCTGGAACAGAAGAAAATCCCGAATTTATGCAAGGTATGAAAATGTTACCTGAGACAAATTCCGTCTTCAAATGCTCCAGATAAGCTGTTTTATCTATTTCTTCCACATGGATCAGGTGTTGAATCAAAATTAGATAAAAGCTCAAAGATCATAGTAGCTTGCTCATCTGGAGGTACCATGAAACCTACACAAAATCTTCCAGAAGGCCAACAGTCAAGGTTGCTTAAAAAAATTCCCTTCGCTTTCTTTCATCCTTCTCGTGATCAGAATCCTGTTTCGCTTGCTTTATTAGTCTTGGAATGGCCTACGATTATTGGACCTGATATAAATACCTATTTGGATACTATAATTACTGCAGGTCACTTATAGCTGCCTACTTGCTAGTCCTGAATGGTTATAGTAATGTATTCCACTTGGAGGGAGGACTGTATCAGTGGTTCAAACAAGACCTGCCTCTAGAGTCAGAAGAATGAAGTTTTGAACTACAAAGAGTTTCTTGTAATTTGCAGGTCTAACCTTAGTTCAAAACTTCTCCAGTTAACGATTATGATTTGATAGCATTACTCTATGTTTTGATCATCTTTGAATCGGATGTTTGATGCTTCTGTGTACTTCTAATTCTTCACAACTTCTGCTAGCCAACTAACACAGTTTTAGTGGATAAAAAACGACAAATCAAAGCTCTCACACCTAATCATCTCTGCTATTCTATCTATTGTTCTTATTGGGCCATAGAAGAACATCTAGGACTTGCAAGCAACAGTCATAAAAAGAAAAAAGAGACAAATACAAACCTGCACATGCAAAGCATTAAAATGTGCTCTACTTTCCAAATTAAAGCTGGTAAGTTCTCAATCAATAAGTGATATGCTTTCTTTAATCTTCTAGTAATAAAAGCTCATTCAACTCTATGACAACATTAATGCCTTGCATTTAGCCATGTATTTATTTCTACTAATTAGTTGCATACACAATAAGACTTTGTACAACCCAAAGACCAAAGTATCTGTAAATAAAAGCTCATCTAACTCTATGATAACATTAATGCATTAGCATTTAGCCATGTCGTATTTATTTCTACCAATTATCTGCATACAAAGCAAGAGTTGTAGAATCCAAGTATCCATAAATGAGAGTTCATCCCCTCCTTTAAGCACAGTGCATCGATATTTCAACAGTAAATCCTTGCATGAACAACCTTGCACGTCGGATACGGACTAGAATATGGGTAATTTTTCAAAGAAGTCATATGGAAGGTAAACTGGAATGGCGTGGTTTCTGCAGAATAAGAATGCCTACCCATTTCATGGACACTCCTCACCTCTGGTGAGGTTTGAACCCTTGACTTCCTGGAGGCTGAGCTCTACCGGTAACCCAGGTACCCTTTGGTAAGAATCTAATATTTTCAAGCAAGGGTAAATCAAACTCGTTAAGAGCACAAGGTTCCTCCACATTCACACAAGATTGACAAGCAGATATGATTCCTTCTAAAAATCCTTTACCTGCATCTCAGTATGCATTATACAACAAGACTAAACTAAGGCTATAGCAAAATTTTGCACATGTAACGGTTCATACAACTACCTATTAACTGCTATCTCACCTCAACTTAACCGAGGCATGCTCCTTGGATTAACGATTGGATGATATGATGGGTTAGTCTTACCAGAAAATGATTACAGGAAATATGAAGCCCGCTACGCTTGTCTGTTGAAAGTGGTCATGAACAGGTATGTACATGAATAAGCCATAGCCTGTTCAAGATAAATTAAATATCTAAAAGGAGACCTCCTTCATAAATATACTACATGGTAATCAGTTCAAAGCGGGAAATGACAAAATCGTTTAGAAAGTCTGTTCAGGATGGATCCGGCAGCTCCTTGGAGCTATCAAGGCCTAGCAGATCTTTAAAGAGTTCCAGTAGACCTGGCTGCGCTTCCTTGAGACATAGCTCAGTATCTAGATTAAATAGTTCTCATCAAATGACTGGGACCTTTCCTGCTTAAGCCAATAAAGAAGCTCTTGCCATGGCTAGAACACCCTCGTAAGTCTTATTTCCACCGATAAACCCGCTCGTATGCACAAAAACACAACCGGATATTCCTGCCACTTCAGAAAGATGATCATCTGTCAAACCCCTCCAATGAGATGGTAGAGGCTTCCTGCTTTCAAATTTATCTGGTGAAACTGCCACTGCCTGCACTCGCCACTTACTGTTCCTGTCATCCTACATGATACGAAAAATAAAACCCAAAAATATTAGTCTTTGAGGGTGCGTCTAATGTCCAGAAAGGATAGGACAGAACAGGACAGCTCTTCAACATTTGGTAAGACAGACCTCGACAGAACAGAACAAGTAAAATGACCAATTTACCCCTAATGAGTTGGTTATATATTTTGATTAATTTATGTAATTCATTAAATTATAATAATATAATTATTTTTTATAACGAAATATATAATTAGAAAATTTCGTCAAAACAATCAAAATGACACCAAAATAAAAACTTTATGTAGTTTCCAATTTTTATTTTATCCCTTTTCTACATTATTTTTTATTATTAATATATAATAAATTACATAAATTAATAAAAATAAACCATATAAAAATAATATTTTGAGGACAGTAAAATGAAAGTTTAAAAAGCATAAATACAATAAATAAAATATAAAGAATGAATAAAATGTAAAAAGGAGACCTATTTGATGTTTTAAAAGAGAATTAAGTTTTATTTTGAGGTTATATTGGTAAAATATAAGTCTGTTCCACCCTGTTCCATGGGTTAGGAGTAGAACAGACCTGTTCCACTCTGTTCCCGTCTGTTCCACATAAAAGTCCTGCCAAATGTGAAACAGAGATCCTTGTTCTGTGCTGTCATGTCCAGTGTACCAAACGCAACCTAAGTGTACAAGATGTTACAACTTAGAAGGATAAGTTCACTTATCATGCTACAAGAAACATCAGCCATAACAACTCCATCTATGATGACATGTGAAACTGGGTGGGTTTTCTGCCCTCATTAACAGTCAAGCTGCATTCTTTTCAGATAAAGGCATACATGGCAATTGGTAACATACTGCAAGAAACCTTCAGTGGAGCAAAAAGGTGTGTTAAGCACCTGATAAATAACGTATTTCAGGAGAGGATCAATCTTCAGTTCCACCTCAAGGTCGAATATGTGAAATTTCCACTGTCAAATAAAGAAAAAGTGAAGGGAGATTCGTTCAAATGACAATTATGTCGGTAAAAAATGAGAGCAAAACAAAATACATATCAACCAATTTTTTTATTTCCTTCAATGAGGCTCTTCTCCATTTAATCAAAGGTATGGACTTATCTGTTATGCATGTGTAGACCAAAATCTAATGCAGGCAACAGTATGAGATATGACCCCTCAGTATCCAAATTGGGCGTTTGAATCCTATATTTTTAATTGATGAATAAAGAAGAGTCTCAAATAGGTGCATTGTTCACGTTCCCTGAAACTTGTCAATTTTACATTGTAAGGCATACCCAGGTGCACAAATTAAAAACATAAATATGATATCTTTTCATGTTTCCAACCTGATGCTCATATCCCAAGTCAACAATGATGACCATAATTTCTTACTTTCTTCGTACGTAAACCATTGTGCTATATTCGACACCATCCATTCAATACACATTGATTCAGGTAAATATATATTTTGATCCTTTATAGTTCATGACAAATAATTTGTATTTTGCACCTGCTTCACATCAAGTATGGAGGGCTACATAAGGAGTGAGCTCATAACCATAAAAATTGCTCACTTACAGGGCAAGATTTCGTCAGCAACATGATTTCTCCACTGGGATCAATATCCTTTCTTGCTGCAAGACATTCCATTACAACCGATCTTGCTGGCAACCATGATTTTGCATGAAAATGGATACACTGGTGCATAAATAGGGCAAAGAGTCACTCATTACCATTGCCATACTTGGTGAAAGAATCTATTACAACATATTTCGAATAAGAAGCACACAGATGCCTTATTAAAACTCACGTTGATAAATTCACTCCCCGCCAAAGCCATTGCATGTTGAAAGGCTTGATCTTCTTTCTCAGATGATTGATCAGTATCATACCAGTTCATGTTCAATCTGGAAATTCTGGAGGACAGAGTTGTATTGTTCACATATCTGGGAGGCTGATCTGTCTCATACTGATTGATTCCATTGTCAATAGCATCAACTGCCTAATATGATGTACAGTCAAAAACTGAATTGGGTAAAGAGGAAGCACTATTTCAGAAACTAAGCCAGGATAAATTTGAACAAATACAACAAGCAACCATATCCAGAAAGAAGAAAAAAAGAAAATTTTAAGGCTTATTTCGGAACAAGATGCCTAGCATGACACAACAGAAACAAGAAAACTCTTGCCATCACCATCTTAGCAGACCTTTTGCTTAAGAATAATAAACTTTTCCAGAAGCATGCACGTTCCCCTTTTACTCTAATTGAAAGAAACTTTAGCATACTGTAGTTTAAGAAATTTTAGTTACAATGAGGTAATGGAAAGCACACTCTCTCACAAATCATCCATAGAAGTTTTCAACGTACCTCCACAAAATTCTTGTAAACAGCTAAAAACAGGCTATGTACATCAGGATGCCCCTCATCCATCTGAATTTCCTTCGCAATTATCTCAACCCCATAATGCTGCATGAAACTAGTTGTTCATTAGAAACTCAATTCGCTTGTAAGAACTAATCAATCTATGCCTTGAAACCTTCTTTTATGCAGAAATGGAGTTTTAAGTAATCACCTTATACACAAGGCCAGCACTACTTAGTTTAGTGGAAAATCCATTACAGAGTATTTCATCGAACCCTTTCTGATGATGATCAAACCTGTTGCTGCTCGGATCATATACTCCTCCAACATCAAGCACCGCATCAAGCGTATCCAAAACCTTCCCCCTCAACATTTCCCCAATGTCAATATATATTCCAAAACCGAAATAGTGCTACTAATAATAAAGTATATATGTGCATCATAGTACCTCAAGGTTTCTGGTTCGGATGATTCGGGCTCCATGGAACTTTGAGGTGAGGCTAATCATAAAGCATCCAAGGGCTTCGTCGCAGTGGAAGGTGCCGTTATGAACGCCGACTCGCTTAGATGGTGAAGCAGAAGCAGTGGAGAAAGGCAAACGAGAAATTTCAAGAAAATTGGTCATCAGAGAGAAAGGAACAAGGGATGTTCGAAATCGCAAAAGGGAAGCAGCCATTGTTAAGATTCGCAACTTCGATTTTGCATTGGATGGAAAATTGTCTCGTGAATACTGAACCCCTTCTGAGTTCTGACCTCCTGCTCCTGCCCTTGCATTTGTATATTTGATAGAGGCATGTTTAATCGAGTGGATGACAAGAAAATAATTAAAATTTGTTATAAATGAAAATCTCTCTCTATCTCTTTCTATATATATTAGGTTCTATATATTAGGTTCGATCTAATGTATTATACGGGATAATTTAAAAAATTAAATAATTTCAAAAATTTATCTTACAAATATGAATGATCATCGAAAATACGATGCTACTTTAGATTTGTACTTTTGAAATAATTCTAAACAATGACTCTTCAGATTGAATTTAGTAATAAAACTATATCAATAATTAGTTAAAATAAAGTTAACCCTAGAATAAAATTAAATTTAAAAATGAAACTATATCAATAAATTGAATTTAAATTTGTAAATAAATTTAGAATAACTATTCAGACTTATACTCTTGAAATAACTTTGAATTATAACTGAAAAATGACTTCAGACTTGTACCCTTAAAATAACTCTGAAGTAAAAAATTTCATACTTTAGAGCTCTGTATAGGCAAGTCAGAAGCTCTGCATGCACTATGCAAAGGCTCTACATGGTGCTCCGTCTGGAAAAGAAGACTTCAGAGTTCGGGTGAGCTAATTATGAATAATGACTCTTCAGACTTGTACTCTGAAAATAGCTCTGAAGTAAAACTCTAAAGAAATGACTCTTTAGACTTGTACTCTCTGAAGTATAAAAATCAATCCCACTAAATCAGAGTTCAGACTTCTAAGTCTGAAAAAAAAAGATTTCAATGTTCAGACTTTAGAGTTTGGGTGAGCTAAGTCTGAAAAAGAAGACTTCAGAATTCAGGTGAGCTAACTCAAAAGAATGACTCTTCAGACTTGTACTCTTCAGTGTTGTAGAAGACTTCAGAGTTCAGACTTCTAAGTCTGAAAAATAAGACTTCAGACTTCTTTTTCTAAGTTTAAAAAAAAGACTTCAGAGTTCATATTCCAAAGTTCAAGTGAGCTAAGTCTGAAAAAGCAAACTTCAGAGTTCGGGTGAGCTAACTCTTTAGAATAACTATTTAGACTTGTACTATTGAAATAACTCTAAAATAAAACTATGAAAAATAACTTCAGACTTTTATTATTGAAAAAACTTTGAAGAATAACTCTAAGAATGACTCTTCAAACTTGAATTTAGAAATGAAACTATATCAATAATTAGTTAAAATAAAGTTAACCCTAGAATAAAATTGAATTTAGAAATGAAACTATATCAGTAAATTGAATGACTTTGAAGACCTTGAGTTCATAGTTATTCAAATACCCAATATCTTTGAAAAAGACCCGATGGTAAAGTTTGCATCATACAGAGCGAGACCAACCAGAGCTCCTCTGGTTCTTAAGAACCAGACCCCCTGTGGACTCACCAACCAAAAGCAAGGCCAAACCAAAGTCCCTCTGGTCAAACTAGAGCTTCTGGTTCACCTATCCAAAGCTTCTGGGTCAAAAAAATGTTAAATACTTAAAGAATTTAAGTTCCATTTACAACTAGAGACCCTCTAGTTAAACATAAAGATCAACCAGAGCCCCTCTGGTTAAAACAACCAGAAGCAAAGTCATCCAGAAGCCAGACCAACCAGAGGGGCTCTGGTTTACAAGACTAAATATAAGTCTTAAAGACTTATCTTCAAAGTCTAGATAAGTTTATTACAAGACTTGTACTGTTAGAATTGCTCTGAAATAAAACTCTTCAAACTTTAGAGCTCTCTATGGGTAAGCCAGAAGCTCTACATGCACTATACAGAGGTTCTGCATGGTGCTTCGTCTGGAAAAGAAGACTACAGAGTTCGGTTAAGCTAACTCTGAAGAATTACTCTTCAGACTTGTACTATTGAAATAACTCTGAAGTATAAAATCAATTCCATTAAATCAGAGTTTAGACTTATAAATCTGGAAAAAAAAAAGACTTTAGAGTTCAGGTGAACTAAGTCTGAAAAAGAAGAATTTAGACTTCAGAATTCATGTAAGCTAAGTCTGAAAAAGAAAACTTCAGAATTCAGGTGCGCTAACTCTGAAGAATGACTCTTCAGACTTGTACTCTTTAGAATTGTAGAATACTTCAGAGTTCAGACTTCTAAGTCTGAAAAAGAAGACTTTAGACTTCTTTTTCTAAGTCTAAAAAAAGACTTCAGAGTTCAGACTCCAGAGCTCGGGTGAGCTATGTCTGAAAAATCAAACTTCAGAGTTCGGGTGAGCTAACTCTGAAGAATGACTTCAGACTTGCTCTCTTTCTGAAGTAAAACTTTTCAGTAAATTGAATTTAGAATAAAATTTAATTTAGAAATGAAATTATATCAATAAATTGAATTTAAACTTAGAAGTAAACACCATTTTTTTTCAGGAATCAGTTACCACACAAATTAATTAATCCAAGAATAAAATCAATTGCACCCTAAATTAGTGGGATTGATTGAATAAGAGGACACATGTCAATCAAATGAGTATGATTGAACTGTTAATGTAAATTGTGTCTAGATACGTTCAAACGAGTCTAATTGAACCACTAATGTAAATTGTGTCTAGATACATGTTTAGGCGGGAAAACAAGAAAACCAACTCACCAGAAGATGACACATGTCACTCATGTTACTTATTTATTTTAAATATAGATACAAAGGAAACCCATAAAGAATGAGGTGACACCTCCTAATCCTTGCGCGTTTGGTTTGAGGGTTTTGGAGGGATTTGGATTTGAAATCCATTCCAATCCTACGTTTGGTTTGTAGAAATGGTCGGATTTCAAATCCCGGGATTCATTTGAAATCCCACCAACACTGGATTTGAGAATCCTTCGCCCTTACACGGGATTTGAAATCCATTCCYGTGGATTTCATCGCTGTCTCCCTCTCATCGCTTCAATCCTTCTCATTGCTTCAATCCTTCTCATCGCTTCAATCCTTCTCATCGCTGTCTCCTTCTCATCGCCGTCTCCTTCTCATCGTCGTCTCCTCCGTCTCCGTTGCCACCKYCGTCGCCCTTCGTCTCCGTTGCCACCGTCGCCGTCGCCCTTCGTCTCCGTTGCCACTGCCGTCGCCCTTCGTCTCTGTTGCTCACCGTCGCCGTCGCCCTTCGTCTCCGTTGCCACCGCCGTCGCCCTTCGTCTCCGTTGCTCACCGTCGCCGTCGCCCTTCGTCTCCGTTGCCACCGCCGTCGCCCTTCGTCTTTGTCGACCTTCGTCAACAGGTAAATCATTTTCCCCTTTTGGATTTCTCTCTAAACTATGAACACATATTAGGTTAAATCCTTCAATTTTGACATATTAGGTTGAATATACATGAACACATATTAGGTTAAATCCTTCAATTTTGACATATTAGGTTGAAATCACATGAACACAAATTAGGTTAAAAAAATTATTCGAAGTATTAGAAACTAAATCCTACAAACCAAACAGAGGAATGGATTTCAAATCCAATCCAATCCAAATCCCATGGAATCCAAATCCCTCAAGGGAATCCTAATCCCTCAAGGGAATCCAAATCCCTCAAAAACATTCCCGCAAACCAAACGCACCCTTAGATTTTGTCTCATTTTTTTTCTTAACTTTTTGATTCTTTTAAATGTTGAGTATGTTAAAGACTTTTTTACCCCTGTATGAAAAATGTGTAGTTCATTATTAACCCGAGTTTTTTTATAATTTTGTATACACAAGTTTAACCTTCAACTCTTGATTTGCTCTTTCATGTACCTTCTTTTAAATGAAATTTGTTTTTCAAAGTTTCAATAATAAACAAAATGAAATCCTAGAAATTCCGTTGGTGAGGGATGAAGAATATGAGAGTTGAAGACGACTTGAAAGATTTTAAAAAATATGTAGAGTGATTGATAATTACGTTAAATTTTGACTACTTTAATTTTTTTTCAATTAATAGAAATCTTTTGGTGGAGGATGAAGAAATGAGAGTTGAAGAAAACTTAAAAGATTTAAAAAATGTATGTAAAAATTATATTACTTAGAAAATGTGACTTGTTATTACATATTTCTTCTTTTCAATATTGTTGGCTTTGTTGTTATCATAGGACATGATTGTGTTTACGATTGAATCATATAAATTCGAATAAAATTTTGATATTTTGTGATTACAATGTATGATAAAAAAATCAAATCTAAACTCCGTTGATGATAACTATTTATACGTGATTGATAATTACGTTAAATTTTGACTATTTAAAAAAATTTCTATTGGCATTAATATATTAATTCACATAAAGCAAAGTTAAACCCTAAGTTTAATGAAAGACTATATTTCATATGTTTAGTTTTTATCTATTCTTGATGTATTTTTAAATGATTCCATCACATTAATTGTAAAACCTTTTTATTTTTCTATCTAATTTAAATCAAAATGTGACAATCAATATATCATGAATATATTATCAAAATCAAAATTTCAGCTTTCATATTTATCATTTTCTTTCATACATTTCTTTGTTAGAAAATCAATGTATCAATTAGTTTTTTTTATCATAACGAGTGTGTGTATATGTATATATATACATACAGGTGGAGGTTCAAACGAGAACACCTCCATTTTATGAGAATGCGATAACACCTTTATCACATGTGATAATACGCGTGAGGGGATCCGGTGGTATGCGGAAGACGTGTTCTACGACTTAGGTCGCGCCAAAGGTTGTCTGCGTCTATGATTTAGCATCACATGTGATGGTCTTGATGGATTATAATAACATATCAACAACACCCTTATCACATGTGATAATACATGTGAGTGGACTTAGTGGTGTAAGGGCGACTTGGCCCGCAACCAAGATCGCGCCGAAAATCGCTCGCATCTCTGATTTAGTATCATATGTAATGAAATAATAGTATCACATGTGATTATTTATTGTAAAAGGGTGTTCTCGCGTTCTCGTAAACCGAAAGTGTTCTTGTTTGAACCCTTCCCTATACATACACACACACACACATATATATATATATATATATATATATATATATATGTTTGAAATACTTCTCTCTC